CTCATGGAGTGGAACGGGATATAGCACCCCTGTATGGAGTGAACCAGGATATAGCACCCCTGCATGGAGTGAACCGGGATATAGCACCCCTGTATGGAGTGAACAGGGATATAGCACCCCTGTATGGAGTGAACAGGGATATAGCACCCCTGTATGGAGTGAACAGGGATATAGCACCCCTGCATGAAATGAACTGGGATAAGGTATGATGTCTGAAATAGTCCCTATAAGGCGCAGTCCGTGATGCTCACCCTGGTAGAACAGTCTAGGCCACAGGAGGGTAGGTACCCTTCCATGATAACCCCCACCCATCAGCTTCACCATCACCTCTAGCAGCAGTAATAATAATATCTCTATTTTATCAAGTATATGTACAAGGTATACAGGCGTAGCTGACGTCAGTGGTATACTACTATATAGAAAGCCCCTTGTTATGCAGAACATTTCTGGCAAATTAGGTCATTTTGTCCCAGGATGCGGCCCACACCAATCGACTAACACCCAGGTACCCATTTTACTGATGGGGAACATACACAACCGGTGTAAAGAAACATGCCCAATGTTTCTACCCTCGCTGGGAATCGAACCTAGACCCTCGCCGTGTGAAGCGAGAGCTTAACCACCTGGCCACGGGGCACCATCACGTCCTGTTGGGGCGATGGTCACCGCACATCTGACCAGGTCTCTTTGAATGATAGGGTTGAAGGGCACTAGATTGATAAGAGAGAAGGAACGGAACTCCTGACGAAGGGAAGTTTTGGTAGAATATAGGAGAGTTGGCAGTGGACGAACGGAGAGGTGTAGGAGGGTCGTGTCTAAACCATGGGAGGTATGGGCCAAGGTTACCGGGGGGATGTGAGTGGATGGAGATTCCAAGTGCTGCAACTCCTGAGATCTACCCCTCACTGGGATGTGTTGTGATGGTGGTGGCGAGCAGTTCGATGAGTGACCGTGAGTAGGAGCTGTGATTCCACCCATGGATTAGACCGACCTCCCTGACCACACTTTCTACACCTCCCAGACAGCACCTCACGGAGGACCCATTTCAGAGATCACGCCTTATAGGGCGCACTCCACAGGGGTCCCATATCAGAGTTCACACCATACATAGATGCCATTTCCAGTTTCCCACCTTTGTAAAACCCTATAAGGGTTTTACCCCTATTTGCAGACAACCAGGGAGGCAGGTATACTACACGCAGAGGCTACGGGCACGGACCCCTAGGGCAGACGCAAGACCAGTTGGCGAGACAAAAGACAAGGATAACTACCAACAAATACCATCGGTCGGCCTCGGTGACGAATTTTCGTCCAACATTAATTGCTCTCTGGCTCAACTTGGTAAAATTAATTCAAGAGCCATCTTAAGGCTGTAACTATCCTTAAGTTAAATTAGAAATGACAGTGACGTGAGAGGAGGAGGAGGCGAAGGAGTAGAGAGAGAGAAAGGACGAGAGAAATGGGAATAAAAGAAAATTGAGAAAAACACGAACTTACAATTTACATCTACTGAGGAAACTAAACTATTACAGCATGTGCTACTACAACTTGTCTTAATTTTAGTACGTTAATTTTGGACGTGATATCCAACGTCAATTTGTTAACACGTTCATTTTTTCTATTCTCTTTATTTATGTTGGGTTAATTTAAGTTTAGTTTGGCTAGGTCAGGTTCATACTACCAGCAAGTAAAAAGATGAAAGCGCCTAACACTAGTCCGTGTTGAAAATCCTGCAACAATGTCTTCTCAGGAATAAAAAATGTTTTGGCTAAGCTTTTGTTGTACGAATTTAGAAATCTTGCGTAGAAATTTTTCAAAAAGAATTAATGTTGACGATAAGTTTTCCGCAACTATTATAACTGCTACTAATTTTTTTCATTAATTTAGCATTAACGATTTATTTTATAACTCAAAATGTGGATGGTTAGGATTTACGTATATATTGTGATGCAAATGTAATGTTACGACCTCTGAATCTGGTTATTATTACAGTCGTGAATGTTTATCTTCTGTAAAATAGTATAATTCTAAAATATATCGGGAAGTGACCAGCCATCAGTCAGTCCTGCTACTAATGGGAAGGAAATTAACATAAATACATTAACTATATACATATAGGAGAGAGATGTTGACCTTTGATCTTACATTAAATCAAAACTGAATAGGATATTATGCACCTTGATGTATGTCTCTCAATGTGTACTTTATGTACAGAGTTTACTTTAATCCTTTTAATGGGTTAAAGTATTATTTATTGGTGAAAAGATGGTATGTTGCCTTAATGAGCTTTGTGTAGTCCATAGACTTCAACGACCCTCGTGTAGTCCATAGACTTCAACGACCCTCGTGTAGTCCATAGACTTCAACGACCCTCGTGTAGTCTAGACTTCAACGACCCTCGTGTAGTCCATAGACTTCAACGACCCTCGTGTAGTCCATAGACTTCAACGACCCTCGTGTAGTCCATAGACTTCAACGACCCTCGTGTAGTCCATAGACTTCAACGACCCTCGTGTAGTCCATAGACTTCAACGACCCTCGTGTAGTCCATAGGCTTTAAGCCCAATTAACCAACCAACCTGAAGAACAAAACACTCCCAGGGATATTCTCAAAATGTTTATCCATCTGTTTCTAAATGTCTACAGTGCATAATTATGCTTGGGTTTTCAGCATCCAGATGTGATGTGTTCCAGTTTTCTATGAATTTACAAGCAGAGACATTTTATCAGCCTGTTACACCTGCTGTCCTTTATTGCACTTTACTAAAAATAGCCTTTCATTAAAAATCACTCGTCTGGTTTGAGTTTTTCAAATATATTCAATATTTTAAAGATTTTAATTTGATTTCTCGGTGTTTGCTTAATTAGAGAAAATTTAATTTTTTTTTTTAGTCATTTCTTGACATGGTTTATTTCTGAATATTATTATTATTATGCACGAAATCGTAATAACGCGATTAAGTTTTACGACTCACTTGCCATGGGTTCTAACCTCACCCTTACCGTAGTTTTATTATTATTATTATTATTATTATTACATTAAGAAAACAGACGTTAAACCCGCATAGCTCATATAATTCCTGAATGATTATTTACACTAGAAATAATAATAGTGATAATCTTACCTGAGCTCTTTCCAGGTAGCTTCTCATATAGGTAGTTTGGAGGTGGCATTGTACACTTATTCAAGGTCAGTATTGGTTATAAAGTTTTATCCTGCCTTGATGTTCACAAATGGATCTTCATCCACATAACTGAGGCTACCTTTCTTTCGTGGGATTACATTTGCTTACCTCTCAATCCCCAGACGCTGGTCAAGCCTTCACTAGCCTGATATCTAACTTTGTTTTCTTTGTTTTCTGACGTACCTTGTGCTCTTTGTCATTGTTAATGACTACTGCAAGACCTTTTCTATCTCTGCTTGCATTACCTATTTACTGCTAGAGCATTATTATGATTATAAAAACTAATCACTAAACCCACAAGGGTCATACAGCTACTAGACGAGTTTTTTTTGTTTTTTGTTTTTTATCCTAGTGAGGGTGGTAGATATGGAGATGATGGTGGGAGAAGATATTATGGAGATGATGATGGGAGAAGATATTATGGAGATGATGATGGGAGAAGATATTATGGAGATGATGGTGGGAGAAGATATGGAAATGATGGCAGTGGTTGATGTTGTGATGGTAGTGGTGGCTGATGTGGATATAATAATGGTAGTAATATCGAAATGGTGATGGTAGATATTGTGGAAATGGTAGTACTGGCTTTGGATGCTGTGATCTCATTCATATTGATGTATGTATGTATGTATGATATTATTATTATAGTATATATTATATTATATATATATATTATATATATATATATATATTATATATATATATTATATATATATATATATATAAGAATTATGCATACACATTTGCACAAATGAAAAAAAAACTTCGAAGCGTCACAAGTTCGCATGCACGAATACGTATTCAAATGAGCTCACGTGATATAATAAATTTTAATGAAACATGCATGTTTAAAATACATTTACACATATACATATGAATGTATATTAATCACGATAGTCGTGTAAGATTGACAACTAATAACCAGGAAGGATATTTAATGGCTTTAAGCTTTTCTTATGCCTTTCTTTATGGTTATCCATTATTATATACATGCATTCATGCATGCATACATACATACATACATACATACATACATATGAATGAGATCTGATGTCCACAGAGAGCATAAACAGCACAGGCACGGGATTCAGGTTTCAAAGGGATGGTTGTTAGGCTAGTAGAAAGCCACACTATGATAATCTACACTAGGATAAGCCACAATAAGATAAAGCCACTCTAGGATTCCCGGAAAAAATGATGGATCAAGTAGTGTGGTGGAAGTGTCTTGGCACGGTGACCGTCCATCCCACCACAACTGTCCCACTATCACCCCTACCTCTTCCCTCATTACTGCTTTCACTGCCTTCAACTCCTCCATCATTTCCATCTCCACAGCATCCAAAGCCACTACTACCATTTCCACAATATCTTCCATCACCATTTCGACATTACTACCATTATTATATCCACATCAGCCACCACTGCCATCATCTCCATAATATTTACTCCCACCATCATCTCCATAATATCTACTCCCACCATCATCTCCATAATATCTACTCCCACCATCATCTCCATATCTACCACCCTCATCACCCCCACTACCACTTCTAAACATTAAAATGTGTAGACAGACAGTCGCTTTTGTCTAATCCGAACCAACGAAGTTAATTAGAATTTCTATAGCGCTGACGCATGAGGGAGGGAGGGAGGTTGAAATACGAGATTTAAAAGATGTCTTGTGCTCGAGAAGGAGCAAAAATGAATGTAGTTATGGAAGGTTGGAAAGCGTTCGTATCCCCCTCATTTTCCCCCACCACTTTTTTTTCTTCCCCGCCACACTAAGCCGGGCAGTTGCGCATGCGTGGGTTGAATGTTTAGCCAGTGCACGTTTGGAAGTGATGGTGTGAGGACGTACCGCGACCTTCTCTGGATTACTGCCACACAAAGTATTGCTTTTTTATCCATATCACCGACGCCACCATGAGGATTTACCTGATCATCGGATGTATAGCCTTGATAGGGCCCGTCTCGCAGCACAAGGTAGGAGGGCGTAGTCAAGAGACCCCCGGCTGCATTCCCAAAAGTTTTAAGTTTGTGGCTAGCGCTCAAGCAGTAGACGGTGAGATGATCGTTTTGAGGGCTGCCTTCGTCCCCTTACATCCTCCTCTAAATAAATTTAAAGTTTATATATATACCTTAGCGTGCCTTTTTAGGAGCATTAGTGGCGATGGGTGGGTAGGCAAGTAGTGATTGTGTTGTGGGATTCGTAAGCAGGTTTGGTTAGGTATCAGTCATACTACCCTACCCCAGTACCAGTACTAGGCATGATACATTGTCTGCAGTACCCTACCCCAGTACCTGTACTAGGCATGATACATTGTCTGCAGTACCCTACCCCAGTACCAGTACTAGGCATGATACATTGTCTGCAGTACCCTACTCCAGTACCAGTACTAGGCATGATACATTGTCTGCAGTACCCTACCCCAGTACCTGTACTAGGCATGATACATTGTCTGCAGTACCCTACCCCCATACCAGTACTAGGCATGATACATTGTCTGCAGTACCCTACCCCAGTACCTGTACTAGGCATGATACATTGTCTGCAGTACCCTACCCCAGTACCAGTACTAGGCATGATACATTGTTGCAGTACCTACCCAGTACCAGTACTAGGCATGATACATTGTCTGCAGTACCCTACCCCAGTACCTGTACTAGGCATGATACATTGTCTGCAGTACCCTACCCCAGTACCAGTACTAGGCATGATACATTGTCTGCAGTACCCTACCCCAGTACCTGTACTAGGCATGATACATTGTCTGCAGTACCCTACCCCAGTACCAGTACTAGGCATGATACATTGTCTGCAGTACCCTACCCCAGTACCTGTACTAGGCATGATACATTGTCTGCAGTACCCTACCCCAGTACCAGTACTAGGCATGATACATTGTCTGCAGTACCCTACCCCAGTACCAGTACTAGGCATGATACATTGTCTGCAGTACCCTACCCCAGTACCAGTACTAGGCATGATACATTGTCTGCAGTACCCTACCCCAGTACTAGGCATGATACATTGTCTGCAGTACCCTACCCCAGTACCAGTACTAGGCATGATACATTGTCTGCAGTACCCTACCCCAGTACCAGTACTAGGCATGATACATTGTCTGCAGTACCCTACCCAGTACCAGTACTAGGCATGATACATTGTCTGCAGTACCCTACCCCAGTACCAGTACTAGGCATGATACATTGTCTGCAGTACCCTGCCCCAGTACCAGTACTAGGCATGATACATTGTCTGCAGTACCCTGCCCCAGTACCAGTACTAGGCATGATACATTGTCTGCAGTACCCTACCCCAGTACCAGTACTATGCATGATACATTGTCTGCAGTACCCTACCCCAGTACCAGTACTAGGCATGATACATTGTCTGCAGTACCCTACCCCAGTACTATGCATGGTACATTGTCTGCAGTACCCTACTCCAGTACCAGTACTAGGCATGATACATTGTCTGCAGTACCCTACCCCAGTACTAGGCATGATACATTGTCTGCAGTACCCTACCCCAGTACTAGGCATGATACATTGTCTGCAGTACCCTACCCCAGTACCAGTACTAGGCATGATACATTGTCTGCAGTACCCTACCCCAGTACCAGGCACGATACACTGCCTACAGTACCCTACCCCAGTACCAGGCACGATACACTGCCTACAATACCCTACCCCAGTACCAGGCACGATACACTGCCTACAATACCCTACCCCAGTACCAGGCACCATACACTGCCTACAATACCCTACCCCAGTACCAGGCACCATACACTGCCTACAATACCCTACCCCAGTACCAGGCACGATACACTGCCTACAATACCTTACCCCAGTACCAGGCACGATACACTGCATACAATACCCTACCCCTTGTACTCGTACTTGTACTTGTACTCGTTGGAACGCAGGAGGGAGAGATATATCATAATCTACACTTGGAAAATCTTGGAAGGAATGGTCCCAAATCTGCACACAGAAATCACTCCCTACGAAAGTAAAAGACTGGGCAGGCGATGCAAAATGCCCCCAATAAAAAGTGGGGGCGCCATTGGTACACTAAGAGAAAACACCATAAGTGTCCGGGGCCCAAAACTGTTCAACAGCCTCCCATCAAGCATTAGGGGAATTGCCAATAAACCCCTGGCTGCCTTCAAGAGAGAGCTGGACAGATACCTAAAGTCAGTGCTGGATCAGCCGGGCTGTGGCTCGTACGTCGGACTGCGTGCGGCCAGCAGTAACAGCCTAGTTGATCAGGCCCTGATCCATCGGGAGGCCTGGTCATGGACCGGGCCGCGGGGGCGTTGATCCCCGGAATAACCTCCAGGTAACCCCAGTACCAGGCACGATACACTGCCTACAATACCCTACCCCAGTTTCAGGCACGATACACTGCCTACAATACCCTACCCCAGTACCAGGCACCATACACTGCCTACAATACCCTACCCCAGTACCAGGCACGATACACTGCCTACAATACCCTACCCCAGTACCAGGCACGATACACTGCCTACAATACCCTACCCCAGTTTCAGGCACGATACACTGCCTACAATACCCTACCCCAGTACCAGGCACGATACACTGCCTACAATACCCTACCCCAGTACCAGGCACGATACACTGCCTACATACCCTAGCCAGTACCAGGCACGATACACTGCCTACAATACCTACCCAGTACCAGGCACGATACACTGCTACAATACCTACCCAGTACCAGGCACGATGCACTGCCTACAATACCCTACCCCAGTACCAGGCACGATACACTGCCTACAATACCCTACCCCAGTACCAGGCACGATACACTGCCTACAATACCCTACCCCAGTACCAGGCACGATACACTGCCTACAATACCCTACCCCAGTACCAGGCACGATACACTGCCTACAATGCCTTACCCCAGTACCAGGCACGATACACTGCCTACAATACCCTAGCCCAGTACCAGGCACGATGCACTGCCTACAATACCCTAGCCCAGTACCAGGCACGATACACTACCTACAATACCCTACCCCAGTACCAGGCACGATACACTGCCTACAATACCAGGCATGATATACTGCCTACAGGACCAGGCATGATCCACTGCCTAGAGTACCAGGCATGATGCATTGCCTAGAGTACTAGGCATAATACATTGCCTAGAGTACCAGGCATGATGCATTGCCTAGAGTACCCGGCATGATGCATTGCCTAGAGTACTAGGCATGATACATTGCCTAGAGTACCAGGCATTATGCATTGCCAAGAGTACCAGGCATGATGCATTGCCTAGAGTACTAGGCATGATACATTGCCTAGAGTACCAGGCATGACTCATTGCCTAGAGTACCCGGCATGATGCATTGCCTAGAGTACCCGGCATGATGCATTGCCTAGAGTACCCGGCATGATGCATTGCCAAGAGTACCCAGCATGATGCATTGCCAAGAGTACCCGGCATGATGCATTGCCTAGAGTACCAGGCATGATGCATTGCCTAGAGTACCCGGCATGATGCATTGCCAAGAGTACCCAGCATGATGCATTGCCTAGAGTACCCGGCATGATGCATTGCCTAGAGTACCAGGCATGGTGCATTGCCTAGAGTACCCGGCATGATGCATTGCCAGTAGTACCAGGCACGATGCATTGCCAGGAGTACCAGGCACGATGCATTGCCAGGAGTACCAGGCACGATGCATTGCCAGGAGTACCAGGCACGATGCATTGCCAGGAGTACCAGGCACGATGCATTGCCAGGAGTACCAGGCACGATGCATTGCCAGGAGTACCCGGCATGATGCATTGCCAGGAGTACCAGGCATGATGCATTGCCAGGAGTACCAGGCACGATGCATTGCCAGGAGTACCAGGCACGATGCATTGCCAGGAGTACCAGGCACGATGCATTGCCAGGAGTACCAGGCACGATGCATTGCCTAGAGTACCCGGCATGATGCATTGCCTAGAGTACCCGGCATGATGCATTGCCTAGAGTACCCGGCATGATGCATTGCCTAGAGTACCAGGCATGATGCATTGCCTAGAGTACCCGGCATGATGCATTGCCAAGAGTACCCGGCATGATACATTGCCCAGAGTACCCGGCATGATGCATTGCCTAGAGTACCCGGCATGATGCATTGCCTAGAGTACCCGGCATTATGCATTGCCAAGAGTACCCGGCATTATGCATTGCCTAGAGTACCCGGCATGATGCATTGCCTAGAGTACCCGGCATTATGCATTGCCAAGAGTACCAGGCATGATGCATTGCCTAGAGTACCCGGCATTATGCATTGCCAAGAGTACCCGGCATTATGCATTGCCAAGAGTACCCGGCATTATGCATTGCCAAGAGTACCAGGCATGATGCATTGCCTAGAGTACCCGGCATGATGCATTGCCTAGAGTACCCGGCATGATGCATTGCCAAGAGTACCCGGCATGATGCATTGCCCAGAGTACCAAGCATGATGCATTGCCCAGAGTACCCGGCATGATGCATTGCCTAGAGTACCCGGCATGATGCATTGCCTAGAGTACCCGGCATGATGCATTGCCAGTAGTACCAGGCACGATGCATTGCCAGGAGTACCAGGCACGATGCATTGCCAGGAGTACCAGGCACGATGCATTGCCAGGAGTACCAGGCACGATGCATTGCCAGGAGTACCAGGCACGATGCATTGCCAGGAGTACCAGGCACGATGCATTGCCAGGAGTACCAGGCACGATGCATTGCCAGGAGTACCAGGCACGATGCATTGCCAGGAGTACCAGGCACGATGGATTGCCAGGAGTACCAGGCACGATGCATTGCCAGGAGTACCAGGCACGATGCATTGCCAGGAGTACCAGGCACGATGCATTGCCAGGAGTACCCGGCACGATGCATTGCCAGGAGTACCCGGCACGATGCATTGCCTGGAGTACCCGGCACGATGCATTGCCTGGAGTACCCGGCA